TTTTAATCATTAAGATTTTTATTATTTCCCGATTGCTGTGTCTCAGTGGTTGAGAATCAATCTATGAACCAGGAGGTCATGGTTCGATTCCCAGTCAGGGCACATGCCGGTGTTGTGGGCTCAATCCTTAGTATGGGGCCTGCAGTAGGCAGCCGATCAATGATTCTCTCTCAATCCTTGGTTTTCTATCTCTCTCCCTCTCCCTTCCTCTCTGCAATCAATAAAAATCTATTTTTTAAAAAAAGATTGATAGACAGTCAATCCCTCCATTCAAATACCAGCTCAGAAGACAGCCCGGCCTCTCCCTCCCTCAGGCCAGGAGGAGACAGCTTAGGCTCCTAACCCTCAGGCCCTCTGGATGCAGAGCTATGGTAACGCCGCGTCTCAGACCCTCCCCAGAGGTTCTGGTTCGGCCCGTCTAGAGGGGAACCTGTGCACCTGCATTTTGGGGAGCTACCACCCCGAGCCCCAGCCTTGGTCAGGCCTGGGAGCAACGCCGTTCCCGCCAGAGGCCCAGGGCCAGCTGGGGCGTGGTTGCCATTTCTCTCAAAGTGGGAGCTTGCGGAGTTGTGTGTGGGGGTTCCGCTCCTTCGTGCCCTGTGCTCCCCACATTCCTTTGCCGGACCCTCCTCTCCTCGGAGGAGGTGCCGGTGGGAGGGGTAAGGCTGTGGCTGCTCCAAAGTGCTGTCAGTCAAGGACGATGGGCTTTGAGTGACCAACCTCTTAAAGGAAATTTCTGGATCCTTCCGTCTCTGCAAGATTTGAACATTGCCAATGTGCCCGCCCGCCCAGGGGAATTATGGGTCTTTCCCAGGCTCTTGTCCTGGGACATGGGTGGCCCTGTTCTAACCACTGCGCCCCACGGCCTCACTTTCCCTAACCCCGTCCCAGCCCTGCCCTTGACGCCAGCACCTGGGAAGCCTCTCTCTGCCCCTGGGCATGTCCGCCTCCCACTACTCTGCAGCCTCTGAACTTCGCCCGGGGGACTGATGGAGTGGGGGTGCCTCCTGGGGGCACACTGGAGGCTCAGGGGGCTCCAGGCCTCATTGGAAACCCTCATTCGCCCCTACCTCGCAGTGCTGAGAGCAGAGCTGGGAGGGGTAACACTGCCCCCTGGTGGTGACATGAGCTTCCATCAGGCCCGCAGCTGCACATTGGAAACAGGAAGGGCAGGATCATGTATTGAGCGCCTGCTGTTTGCCCTGACTGCCCACCCGGGGACTGGAGGGCCGGGGAGAGACAGGGAGGGGCAGGTGGCAGGAGCTGAATGACTTTTCCCTGTCACATCCGGGGCAGACGCCGCCCTGCTGGATGGGACAGGCTGGCAGTGGCCTCTGGGAAGCAGCTGTGCCTGCGTCTCCTCACGGGACCCAGGAGACGGCCTGTCTCCTGGCAGCAGAGTGAGCACAGCAGGTGAGACGCCTGGAGGCAGCGACACTCGGCCCCCCTCCGAGGCCACCTTGGGCCCTGCTACCCTAGGAGCCAGCTGCTCCTCCAAGACACCTGAGAGGGGACCCTGAGGTCATGTCTGCTGACCTTGGGCACCAGTGAGTTCTGGCTTCATCCCTTCACCTGCATCCCACACTCGACCCCGACGTGAGCCGACGCTCTGGGGCGGCCGCCTCCCTCCCGACCGGGGTCAGAGGTGGTACGAGGTGGAGGGAGGATGCTGGGCAGCAGCCTGGGGGCCGCTGGGCTGCAGCCCTGAGCTGAATGAAGACAAGGACTTTGGGGCTGAGCCCAGGCCCGGGAGGCGGGCGCTGCCCAGGTGGGGCCTGATGTCTGGGCGCAGCTTCTCCTGGGCTGAGACCACCCATAGGCGCAGGTCCCAGAGAAAAATCACTGTTCACGTTAGACCTATAACTTTCCAGATTCTTCCACTATGCATAGTAAATATATATATATACATGTTATATGCATTGTGCATGCTATATTTACATATGTGCATGTCATATGCAATGTGCATGCTATATTTATATGTGTGCATAAGATGTAGATACTTATACTGTTACACTGTTTATACGATAGACACGTATGCATTGGCATGTCTATGTATGTCCTACAGAGAGGCTGAGGGAGGTCACATCGGCCCACGCTGCTCCCTGGGGCCCTGCCCCATGGCCACCTGGGCCACAAAGGTTGCTCCTCTGGTCGCTGTGCCAACCAGGACTTTGAGGGGCTTCACTTTTCCAAGCCTGACTATGGAAGTAATAGTTTTCCCCTCCGTGTTCCCACATAAAGTTGTAACATTGAATTGGTCTTTTCAACGGCCCACCTCTCCCCAACCTCTGCTGTGCCTGCTGACCGGCCAGAACGCGACCGGGTTTTGAAGAGGTGGCACTATAGTGTAACCCTCCTTGGAATGCATCTTCGCCAGCGGGAGGAGGGTGAGCGGGAGGATGCTGCTGCCGGGGTAGCGGAGGGAGGGACAGTGAGAATCCGGGGTAGGGCCCAGGGGGTTAAGGATGGCCAGGGAGAGAGGATGGAGCCTCGCCCACCTGGGTGGTGATGGAACTCTCTGGGGAGAGGGCCCTGGGAGCCAACGGAGACTTTAGACAGAGGAGGGACGTGATCAAGGCGGGGTTTTAGGGCAGGGAATCTGTCGGCTTGTGCAGAAAGGCCCGGAAGGAGTGAAGACAGTGGCTGTGACTCTGGCCTGGCAGGTAATTGGAGCAGAGGCTTCGTCGCTTCTATAGAGGGTCTGAGGTTCATGGGCGGAACGGGGCCAGGCCCACGGTGGGACCCCCAAGCTCCACGCCCACTGGGGTTCGTTTTCTGTGCCGTGTCACAAGTCGCCACAAACACAGTGGCTTAAAGCAACACCGTTTATGACCTTACGGTTTCTGTAGGTCCTCTGCTCGGGGCCTCACAAGGCTGAGGTCTCCTTGGAGCTCGGCGTACCCCTCCAAGCCCGCTCACACTGTGGGCAGGATTCAGGTCCTTGTGGTGTAAGACCGAGGGCTCGGCGGGCAGCCCACAGCACGGCTGTTTGCCCTTCAGGGCCGGCAGGAGGGCTCCCCTCTGCTTTGCGTCTCTTCTTCCAGGAAACACCTGGCCCTTCGGTTAAGGCCTCACCTGGTTAGGTCAGGCCCACCAGCATAGCCGCCCTTTTGATTAAGTCGAAGTCAACTGATTAGGGACCTTAATGACATCCGCTCAGTCCCTTCACCTTTACCACGTTCTGTTGAGGCCCTGAGCCCCGGGTGCGGGGACCCTGGGCAGGGGAAGTGCGCGGTTCCCCCGGGACAGCGAGTGTCTTGACTTCCTCACTCCACCCTTGAGTGTGCTGCCCCTCGGTAAACACCAAGGCCCCGTTGATGGAGGGGACGTGCCAGCAGCCCTGGGCAGTGGCTTAGGTGATTGTCCCCACTTGCCGAGCAGGAGACCGGGTCCAGGGAGGCGCCCGGCCCCAGGGAAACGCTGGTCTTCATTTCTCAGGCTGTGGGTTTCCCAAGAGCCAGGCTGCCTTTCTTTCCATTTCTCTCTCGCGCGCGTTCCTTTATTTCGAGCAAAAAGTAGAAGCAGATACACACCGTGCCCTCTCCCACACTCCCAGACAGAGGGCTGCAGAGGGAGGCTTCCGGGTCCTCCCAGCCTGGGACAGGCCCTGGGTACCTTCTCCTCATGGAAAATGATGTCCCGGGCCTGGTGCCCGGGAGCTCCCACACAGCCTGTGCTGAGGCTGCAATGCGACAGCGATGTTTGCATGTATTTTCTCCTGCAGGGAGGGCCCCTGGCCCCCTCCCTCAGCGCCCTGAGCAACATGTGTAAACAATTAAGCGGGTTTGTTTTTTCTAGAGCGCTTGGGAGGAAATGACATTGCCATCCTAGCGCTCCACGGCAGGGCAGCGCCTCTGTGGGAACCCGCCCCCGGCTCTTTCCGAAGCTGGCATTCTCGGGACCTGACTTCCAGGCCTCAGCTGGAGCACCCCCCCCGCCCCCCCGCCCCTGGTGGGACCCATCCCTGCAGCAGGCAGCCCCCACCTGGCCGTGCTTCATGGCCCCCTCCCTTTGGGCCACACATAGAAAGACGGGGTGTGCCGCCCTCTGAGCCCCGAGTCTCTCCTTCCTCTGGCAGCGCCTGGGTGGGCCTGTCCACTCGTGCTCCCGGTTCAGTGCTCAGACACGCTCCTTGGCTGGGCCCGTGTGCCAGCCCTTCGCTGTGCAAACCCCCTGGTTGAGGGGTGGTGAGTTCCTTGTGAGGGAGGACCCTGCTCAGACCAGGATGGCCCCAGGACTTGTCTGGGTGGGAGGGCAGGCCAGCATCTTCCAGAGACTTCTACCGTCAGGTCTCATCTCCAAGGTGACTTCCTCCCATGTGCCGAAGCCAGACCCTGGCCCTCTGGCCTCCGCCTGCTCCGTCAGCCCATCATGTAGGCCTCAGCCCCCGTGTCCCCCGTGTGTCCAGGACGCCACCCAGATCTGCCCATTCTGCCCCCAACTGATTCGGGCTGCAGCCCCTCCTGCCTGGACATCTGCCCCGGCCTCCGCACACACAGGAACCCCCTCCATGGTACCCCAAGGCCAGGGTGACATCCAGACTTTTAGATCCGCTCACACAAGCCCCACTGAGGCACCTCCTGCGTCTCTCCTTCACTCCACACCAGGAGACCCACCCCTCAACCTGCCCACAGAGGCAGCGTCTGGCTTGCCCAGGGCCTTCACGTTCGTGACTCCTTAGCCAGAAGCTGTTCTCCCTCTTCTCTTTGTTTAACGAACTCCTCATCCTTCACCTGGACACCTCCTCCGGGAAGCCTGCCTGGATGCCCTAGCCAGTGGTTCTCAACCTTCCTAATGCTGCGACCCTTTAATACAGTTCCTCATGTTGTGGTGACCCCCAACCATAAAATTATTTTCGTTGTTACTTCATAACTGTAATTTTGCTCCTGTTATGAATCGTCATATAAATACCTGATATGCAGGATGTATTTTCATTGTTCACGACCCACAGGTTGAGAACCGCGGCGAGAAGTTTGGGGCCCCCTGTGGGAGGTGTGGCCCCTGCAGCCAGGGACCCTCTGTCAGATCTCTGCTCTCTCGTCGGGGCCTGGGGCAGGGCCGGCACACAGCAGGGGTTTCATGTTTGCTCCGTGAAAAATGGCAAATGAAGGCCCAGAGAGCACTTACCTGAGGCAGAGGCCAGACTGAGCGAGAAAGCACAGCTCTGATGGGCAGCCGCCGCCCGGCCAGGCCCAGGTCTCCCCCAGCTCTGGCCTGGCCCCAGCCCCCTGACCCCACGGTGCCCCACACTCCCTGCCCACCAGAGTCCCCACCACCCAGCCACAGGATGCGCACAGCGAGGTCCCCACGTGTCCGCACAGCGGAAGGGGCCGAGCTCCGCCACCAGGACTGTTTTCATGGCAGGTTCATGGGGGACTACAAGGAACCTTCAGGGGTGAACTCGGGGAGGAGGGAGAGGGGTCCCCACCTCGCTCATGGCTATCGTCGCCATTCCTTCTAGAGCAAGAATGGGGACCATCCCTCACGTAGGCATGTTGTGCGGCTCTGGCCTGCCTGAGGTCATCCAGATGCAGCCTGTGGGTGGGAACGATGGCCCTTGGGGGACACTCTGAGACGGTGCGGCTGGCAGAGAGGATATCGACCCTTCGGGGCGTGACCACAATGTCACTGTGCGGGCCACCCGCCCAGCGGGGCTGACCACTCTGCACCCTGTGGGGTCAGGCCGTGCTGTCCTTCCTGGGGCCGGCGAGGTTACGGAACCGACCTTGACCTTCCCTGCCGGGTGCGCCGCTCCGAAGGGGAGGCGTGGGGCCCGGGGAGGGGCAGCTTCAGACACCCCCCTCACCCTGCAGCTTTCTGCGGCTCCTCTTCATGGTGTCATTGACGGTGGCATGTGTGTCCTCTGTCACCCCAGTTACCATCTGCAAAAGGGTGGGTTCGGGGCCTGGGGAGAAGGCCTTCTGGGGCCTTGGCTGTCGGGACCCCTTCTCTGTCCTGTGGGCCCTGGGACCTCCACGCTGCACCCCACCATTTGTCCAGGCCCCTCCCCAGTCAAATGCTCAGGGTCCCATGCTTTTAGTCTGCCCGAGAGCAAGGACGTCCATGTCAGCATCTGTCCCCTCCACCCTGCCCCCAGCCCCAGGGCTGAGGGGCCGCTCCCTGACCAGAGAGGGGAGGGGTCCTGCTCACAGCCGCACAAACCCCGGGGTGTCCGTGGGGTGCGGGGCGGGTCTCGCCCTGCTGTCCCACTCCCCACCCCTGGGCTCGGCCGGCGAAGGAGACTTCGTCCAGTAGCAGCAGACGGGCAGGGCCCCGCGGGTAGGCCCCCTTTTGTTTGCTGCCCGTATCTGCCCTCCCGCAACCTTTTGGGGCTTAAACCATTTTTATTTCTTAAAGACAAAAGCTATTTGGTTTTAATACACAAAGTAAGTGAGGTCCTTGGTGAGCTCCTGTTCACGGCCCAACCCCTGCCAGGGTCACGGCCGAAGTCTCCGCGGCCGTGGACGAGGGGCTGCGCGGGGCTCGGG